CGCCCCCCACCGTCTTCTTAATATTCCACGCAAGATCGTCTCCGAATCTGTGTAACCGGATGTAAAGATAGAGCAAAAATAAATTCAAAAAGGAGAAACGAAAGACATGGGAGAGAAATTCTTGCGCGAAAGCTCGAGCTGCAGTTACGCATGGAGGCTATGTGTGGCACTCGATCTTTTCTTCGCTTGTGGTTTTGTTTTTCTTTCTTTCTCGTTCTCTTTCCTTTCCACGGACGCGTACATACGTGTGAACGTGTACGAACCCACTCATGCTCATTACCATACATACATACATACGCGTGTGACGGAGAGAGGGGAGAAAACAAAGGAAAGGAAAAGAAATTAGATAAAGCGTATAGAGATACGCGTACACACGAATGCACGTGCGTATATAGAGCGAGTGAAGGCGCGAGTGGTTCAGAGAGTGGATGCGCGTGTGCTTGCGCGCGTCTTTCTTCGCCACCGTCTCTCCCTTTCACTTTGCTTCATTTTCTTCGTTCTTTTTTTTTATCTGTCTACCTGTAAATCTCCTACCTGCCGCTCCCTCTTTTCTACACACCTCGGTGTTCTCTACGTTTCTCTCCTTTCAACGGCTCTGCAAAGCTGCACGAGACACTTCTTTCTCTTAACCCCCGTCCGCCAACCTTGTATTTTTGAAGAAACTCTGTTACGATACTGAAACTCTTCTCTTCTTCTTCTTCACCTCGCATCAACCGTTATCGAAGGTAATCTTTTCTGTGGCCTCCCCTCTCCCACTTCAAACGTTCATGTGTATCTCCTGTCTGTGAATCTGTATCTGTACGTTTTTCTCTAACCCCTTTTTCACCGCTTCCCCCCGTTCCATTTCCCCCCCATAAAGAAATTGTTTGGCTACGAAAATGAGACTAAAAGAGAATATAGACCCGCTGACGAAAGAGAAAAGAAAAGGAAATGTGTAAGTTGTCCATGTTGAACAAACTTAGCATATTGGCTCTCCATGCTACTCTCTCCCAACTGGCACGACTCTAGTTGTTACATTAGCGTTCATTTTCTTTTGCGGCTCGACCCTTGCGTAACTCCTTTTCTTTCTTTCTATTTAGTTTCCTTCTTCACGTTTTACGTATGTTCTGTCGTTTAGGTATGGCTATAATTCGTCGTTTAGCAGTGATCAGCTCTCTCATAGTTTCTTCCGTACGTTCTCCATTCGAGCCTCATCTGTCTCATTCCTCTTTCCTCTCTCTCTCTCTCTCTCTCTCTTCTGTCTGTTTTGCTTTTCATACACCTTCGTTTATACGAGATCAGACGACGACGAATGAAAGAATTTTTACGTTTAAATCGCATTGCAATACGGTTATGAGTGAAATGTGAAAAAGCACAAAATTAGTTTCCAATATAATAACAATGAAACTCTCGAAATGTATCTTAATTGAGTTATAATATCGGTTTTAACTAGTGAAAACAACTACTTCTCTCCTAACGAACGTGTGAATTAGTAAAAATAGCGGTTAGAATTCTCCAAACGAATTTTATTTCACATGTTTCATTTATCATAGACTTGTACTACTGAAAAGTGTCACGTATGAAATGAAGGGTTAACTTCTTTCTTTCTCTTCGCTCTTCTTTTTTATTTTCGTTCTGTATACCTCTCTGCCCCTTCTCTCTCTCTCTCTCTCTCTCTCTCTGTCGCTCTCGCTCTATATTTCTATCTGTGTGTCTATCTGTCTGTTGTACTTACGTCTATCTACCTACATACCGATTTTTTATTTTAATCTTCAAGCGCAGTTTTACACGAACAGCAAACTCGTCCTGAACTATGTATGAACATGCGCCAAACGTCCGAAACTTTCCTACGGATCGGCCCGGTACTAAAGGGACTTTTTCAACATTTTTGCGAGCCCTTAACTCACCCGGAGGGAATAGAACGTGCACGAAACCGCGGGCGTTTGGCTTACGCTTTCCCTGCAAATTTTACCCGTCAAATACAAACGAAACGCGGAAAATCGAAAGGATCGAGTACGATTTCGAGATCGTTCGTGCTCCTAGAGGTGGAAATTTTTGTTTGGAAAATTGATCGTAATTTGGAATTCGTTGGAAACACGTCATACGTTGCCAATATTTTCACGTGCGAGAAAGTTTGTACATAAATTGCAATTAGGTGGAAAAATGAAGTAAATCACAGTCAGTGTGAGATTTGGTATTTCCTTTCCGTCGAATTTCCGTGAATCGCTGTGAAAGTTAAATTTATCGAAATGTGAAAAAAATGGACACAAAAATTTATGGAAATTTTTGGCCAATTCAAACGTCCTTTTTTAAATTTTACTAGAAATACGTATGTCCCACTTAAGTAGTCGAAGTAAAATTGATCTCAATTTGTTATCTGTTATAAACGTGAAAATCGATAGATAAATAACAAATTTAAAAAAAATAATTTGAGCACAGAGGGGTTGAAATACGAAGATTTTTATAGTACTATTTAACGTAATTTTCGTTTGTATTAAATATTAGTGACTTAACAATTTCTACAATTTAAAAATACCAAATTTTCAATATGTTCTTCATATATATAAAATTGATCTGTATAGCACGAGTGCACGCGTTCAACTGAAATTTATTATCAGCCTAGGCTAAATTGATCGTGGAAATCAATCGAAATAAATGGGTACCTTAAAACCAAACGGTGCATTACATATAATTAATTGATCCATTAGACTGGAGTCAATTACCGATACGAACGAAATTAACTGACATAAATAAATCATCAAATGGAGAAGCAAATTCAGCAAGTTCCGTAAAATTTCAATCAGACTACGAATTGTGAACAGACTAACCGAATTTATCGACTAAAACACTAATTAAAATTCGTATGACAAAGCATTTTTAGAATTCTAATAACAATGAAACTATTGATAACTTGTGGTATTTAATTTTAGAAAAATTCATTCGAATTATCCAAGAATTACGAAAAAAGTTGCATCGAATCTATCATAATTTTCTAATTACGAGGAAGGAATATGTGATAAGAAATTTGTATAATTCTCATAACGAAAATATTGGTAACGCGTTGTATTTAATTTTAGAAAAATTCGCAATCTAAAAAATTCCCTCATTTTCTAATTACGAGGAATTAATATGTGATAAGAAATTTGTATAATTCTCATGATAACGAAAATATTGGTAACGCGTTTAATTTGATTCAGAAAAATTCGCAAAATTGCATCAAATCTACAAAATTCCCTCATTCTCCAACAACAAGCAAAGAATAATATGGGAAAGTGTATGCTCAGAAGGATCGTAACCTGACATCGTTGCACATACAACACCAACGCTTTTCCTCGCGACTCTGCTTCGGCTTTAAAGGTGTTCGTTAGCTGAATGGAGTGTAAAACGGACGCGAACACGCGTGCTCACGATCTCACTATTATTCATCGTTGTTTGCGTGGCCCTTGAACGCGTTGCTCATTAAAAAGGCAAATCGGAAGAAGAGGTGCAAAAAAAAAAAAAATCAATCCGATTCTACCAACCGTCCAAGTAAATCGAAGTAAAAAAACCCGAAGGCGCTGTGAAAGCATGAAATTTTCCAGGCAAACCAAATTGCACACAGAGAGAGCCTTCTTCTCTGTGCAGTCGATCATTTCTTCCACTTCGTTCGTTACGTTTTCGCTGCCGTCTGGCTCGGTCGCATGTCGACTGCAAGTTGGTGCTTTAAGGAAACTTTAAGGCCGAAAAAGCGCCGCGACATACTATGCAGAGATGACAAGACAGCCAGCCAACTGTCACAGGCGCAAGAAAGTTACCGTGCAGAGCTCGAAGGAAGTTCAGCGGAAGAAAAACAGGCCTGATTGGGTCATATTGTCGTTATTAGACGAGGTGAAAACAGGGACGAATCGGACTATTTTAAATTTCGTGAGAAATACTGCGGAGAGCTGGAAAGACGACACTTTAACCCTTTGCACTCGAGAGGAGACTGAGAAGCGACATTGTTACTTGATAAATATTATAATTAACGGAGGTACTCTTAAATTTGACATGTTCCAAGATAGCAGGTCTATGGACATGAATATGGAAAAATTTGTTAGAGGTCTAAATAGCGAAAGACCGAATCTCTAATTTCATCCATTTAGCAAACTGTAATTTACTACTCCTCTCTAGCGGAAAAACCTTCGAGTGCAAAGGGTTAAAGATATTTCGTTCGCATCGAATGAATTTCCCGTCACTCGTTAAGCACGATTCGATTCGTCGAGGTTTTTGCGATACACCTGCCCCATTTCTACGATTTTTATTACTGAGGCTTTGAATTGTAAGCTGTGTCCTTATGGAGAAAGGAATCTGACGTTTTGTAAACATTACAGCTCACTTCGTCAAGGTTCGTGAAACACACTGATAACGCACTGTTTATTATGGAACTCTGACGAAGTGAGCTGCAATGTTTACGAAACGTCTGACTTTTTCCATAAGGACACGGTTTACACCCGAAAGCCTAAATAATAATTATGCTCCGGGCAGTGAAAGCCTTAAATCTTCGATTCTACGATTTTGTCAGAAAAGGTGACCCAATCAGTTTTGCATTTCTTCTGCAGGACTTCTTTCTAGCTCTGCACAGCATTTACTCTCCCACCGTGCAATTTTACGTTGATTTTATATGACCCAAGTGGACGTTTTCACGTCGGCCAACAATAACACTACGTGTGCCCTATTTCTACGATTATGTCGGAGAATGCGAGCTTAAGGGGATATTCCTCGCGCTAGCCACCTTCTCATTTCTGCATAATACACGCACATCTCGCTTGCGTAGATCTTTGAGCGCGTTGAGCAGACCTAGAGCAGACGTACAGTCCGGGAAAACGGTACGTGCGCGAGGAAAAGGCAACTGAACCATCAAACGTTGCCTTCTCTGCGAGAAGCGAGATAAGGAAACGGTAGGATCAAGATTGTAATTAACAGGAAGAGGAATTTTTCAACGACATACGGAGCAGAAGAGGATTGAAAGAGAAAAATGAGGAAGCTACGCCTGATCGTTGTGACGAAAGGAAACGAACCCTTTTCTTGGCTGTATCGTACACATCAGTGATGCACAACAGCGATATCTCTTCGTTAGAACGATTTCGACAATTAACAGTGTAAATCTTTGCTACTCGTCATACGTGTGTGTACGTTCAATTCACACGCGCTGTTGTGTAATTTCTATCAACACTAGAGGAATTAACGTTTTCATACGAATGTTTCGGAAAGTTCTTTCTGGCGAAAGGTAGTTGGAGTGCTTATAGAAAACTTTGCTTAAACTTGACAGTGTGAGAATTTTCAGTTACTTTGATTTATGTATTCCACGATGTTTCTTTCGTTTCGTGTGTTCTCTGCTGTATAAGGATTCAAAGTTTCGAGAAATGTTTAAGGTCGAGATAAATTTCTGTTTTTCTTTTTTTGTGTAAAAACTCCTTCGAGGTAATTCCAACGATCCTGCCACGTGTTAATTAGGCTGCAACAAGTATTTCCAGAGTAACCGATGGAGATTTCTGTGATTAAAATAGAGCCGTCGAGTGTAATCGAATTTTAAATGGAATTGCTTGAAATTCTTGTTAACCTAAGTAACCACTGCTTGAAGAAGAAGAAAAGTTCAGAAAGGTGTATCTACGTACAACACTGCATACAAATGTGTCTAACAATGAACAGTCTGCTTTCCTTTGTATTCCCCTCTTTTCTTTTCTATATCTCGCTCGTTCTTCCCGTTCCATTTGTACAAATTAATCATAATCTCGGCGACATCCGACGTGGGATTATTTTCACAATGATTTCCAGACGGAGTGGCGCAGATTATCAGAAGCTTTAGACACAGGTGTAGCTTTTGTTGGCAATTCCATTTAAGAATCTTGCATTATTTACCCTACGCGAAGACGTCGAAAATTCTCTTTTCCGTGAAATACCTGCTAACCTTTTGTACCATGAAATTTCCTCAGAATAACATTCGGCTATTACGAGTACATTTTTAGAACCTTTTTATAATGAAATCAGCAAAACAGAACGCACCGTGAACTCTTCAACTTTCATATCCAACGATATGAATGATAATAAAATATTTATATAAACAAAAAATTTAGCAAACAGTAGGAAAATGATTTTTCCTAGAAAAAGTTAGGTAAAGAGGTTCAGAAATTCACGTGTAATTGTCAACCGTAAGTTGTTCATCACTGATATTCCGCTATCATGCTCATATAGTTCATAGTTGCGACACGCAAATGCAACTGATTTTGCGTAGAATTGATATTTCAAGCGAATCAACAAACACTGTAATTTCTATACCCCGTATGTTGCGCATAGTTTGCTCGCTCTTGTTCATTTTCTTCCCCCAATTGACAATGAACCGCTTCTGCATGAGAGAATGATACTGCTTTATCTAACTTCGACGTAGCAGAGTTACGTGTAGAACACAGACGTTTTTTGATCGGTCTTCTCTTACTCTCGTTCGATTTCCATTGTTTCGAATTTTTAACGAGAACAGAGAGAGTATCTACTGTATATACGTACGTCACGTCTTTGTTCATTCGTAGACTCACCCAGTTCTTAGCCACCACTGAGATCGTCCTTCGTTTCAGGCTAACGAGCCTTGAATTTTCTCTCCTCTATTGTAGGAGCAAATCGCGAAAGAGAAGCAAGTGTCGGGACGGGTGCAAATTCATATTTGGTACGAAGCGGATCGCAAGGAGCTGATCGTTTACGTTTTCACGGCTGACGGTTTGTGCGCCAGAGAGGACACCGGATACGGCACGCAGCCGGAAGCCTATGCTAAACTGGTCCTCCTGCCGATTAGGTAAGGATTTGGTCGACGAAAGGTAGGAATTTCTCGCGGATAAAAGGACGATTAATCTGAACTGTGATTGAGATTATAGAAGAATGATTCTATCTATCATGGAGGATATTTCTTGGTGGTATTCTTGTCAAACGAAGTCGAATGCATAGTTGGATAGAAATGGTGGAGATTATTGGTTGCTTTAAGTTTGCAATCTGTTATCAGTGCACAAAATTGCATAAAAGTCGTGCAGAAATGTATTATGGAATATATAATGTCATTCAATTTTGCACGATACACCTTGTAAACTTTTATTGGATATTAGGAGAATCCAATAAAGATGCAATAGTGTTTCTTCGAGTCATATAAAATTCTTATATGGTTATTTAATATAAAATATTATATACATTTTTTTTTTTTTTACAAAAAATATATATATTGAATATTTTTAATCCTTTAACGCTCACGTTTCTTCAGCACGATGTTCTAGAAATAATCAATTATATTTTTTTAACGAAATTGCTACCTAAGGCGTATAGAAATAAATTTCCCATTACTTATAACGCTGTGACCTCAATTTTTACCGCGATATGGAAATGGTTAATATTACGAATAGAAATGATTAAAAAATGTACGAACAGTAATGAAATATTCTTCATCCTGAAATGTTTGTCGCGAAATTCTATACGATATCGATTATTCCATGTTTCACGCGTTTCAGTCCTGATCAGACTGCACTGCAAACGGAGGTCTCGAAGCCAACCCAAGAGCCATGGTGGAACGCAACATTATTCTTCTCCGGGGTTGACGGGGAAACTTTAATGAAGCGCTCAATCGAAGTGACTCTCTGGGATCTCTGTCCCGATGGTGAACACGTTTTTCTGGGCGAATGCAACGTTAAGATACCGGAAGCTCTGGAAAACTTGAAACCGGCTTGGTAACTCAGATCACAATTTCTAAACGAACAACAATTTCATTTTCCCGCGTAATCGATAAAATAACAATAGCGCTACAAAGAATTGCATCGTGCAGAATCGTCGCAAATCTAGCATTTCATATTACACGACCTAATTTCAGGTCAGAATTTCGCAGTCAGAATTCGTTACGCGCTGATTGGCTGTAGCTGCAGAATTTTAATCACCGGTCGGTGTGTTGTTGGTTTTAATAAAGAAATTAAATTTTAACGACCAATCAGTAGTGTGTTTATAAACAAATTTTCCTTCCGTCATATTTACATTTTGAGATCGTTTAAATTGCGGTCGAGAAGATGACTGTATATCGCTAGAATAGAAGATAATCTACGACGATCTATAAATCACACTTGCAGGTACAAATTGGAGGATCCTCGCGGGCTTCGCGCGAACAAAACGCCCTACTGTTCCCCGCGCAGCTCCTTTTCCATGGAAATTGCCCAAAGGTTATTACGGAAGACGGAATTGCGCGAAAGAAGTTACAGCGACGATACACAAAGCGACAGCGGAAGCCCGGAGCTCGGCTTTCTGCATCCGGATCACGCTTGGCATGCAAATTCCAGGAGAGGCTCCAGCCAGTCCGAGCAATTAGAAGTCGAACCGTATGAACTCAACAGAGATTACAGTAGATCTTTGCCCGGTAGTCGAAGGAGCAGCTTCCAAAGTCAAGGCGGAACTGATAGTAAACGTAAGTCGATGATTCCATTCATTTCAATCACTTTCACGACCATAAACTCATATGCGTGTTCATGAAACACTATAAACACAACCGTTGGTCTTGTATATTTTTAAGTAATAAAAATGGTTGACGTGACCATGAACTTATGGCTGTGTATTTGAGGAAAATTTAATTTTGATATAATCTGCAAGTGTCTTCTTCATTTGTTCTTTTCTTTTTTTGTTATAGACAGGTTAATAATTCGTTCTTGTTATGCTTAATTATGGAACTTCCTATTTTTGTTTGTTCTATTATAATATAGATTAGTTTTTTATTTAAAAAAATTATAAATTTGCATTCGATTGTTTTCTGTTAGAAATTGCAAACGTATTTCGAGTATTTTGTAAAATTTGTCGTACAAGAAATTCTACGTATATCATAATTTTACCTAATTTTATCGTGGAATTATATTTTCCTGTGAAGGTGTTGCTATACTTGTATCACGTTGGTCTGTCGCAGGAATACCTGACGCATAACAATGAACACATTCGGTAAATTCGCGAAAGGGAAATACTATTAGGGAGTAAAAGATGTGTGAAATGCAAGTAGATAATAAAAATGTCGATGTCTCGAATAAAAGTACGAGAACATGCTTGTAATCTAAAACTTGTCGAAGAGATCATTATTTTTCAATGGTTCTCAACGCATTCCTTCCGTCAAATATTCGCCGTCATTTTAAACTTTCCATTTCTGCACAACGAAGTTCTTGTTATATTTGCACTATTTCTTTTAGCAATGTTGAAAGAAGATCTGAGCACCTAATTCACACCTAATCGTTTTTTCATTAAACTTGCTAAGGAACAGGTTAATTAATAGAAATTTAATATTGTTCGCCTATGCTTCAATTAATATGCAAATTAAATTTTTCGTTTCCTTCAGAAACCAGCAAAAGGATAATTACACGTGCATTGTTTGGAACTGTTCGAATTCTGCTTGTTCAACTTTAGCGTTTGTATGTTGTAAATACTAGGTCAGGGTTGAAAAACAGACTTCTAACGAGAAAAGATGTCGTTGTAGAAATTTTAGGTCATCGCTTCTCTTCGTTCGCGTCCTTGTCCTCAAAAGAACAGCTTCTATTATATTTTGCAGTGTCTTTGATTTCGAAGGCACACTTCGATCTCGTCGATTCACGTCTGGTTACTTTATTGAAAGTGGAATAAAGTGATTTTTCGTTTCTAAATGACATTACGTTACCAGTAGTTTAGAAAGTTATCCTAATTTTTAGACGATTTATTAATAAAGAAGAGAAAAGTTTCTCAATGTTTAAAGATCAATTCATATATTATAAATTAATGCACTTGTTTATTTATAGTTATGTGTAATTTTTTAAACGAGGTTCTAAGAAATATTAATATCTTCTAATTAGATATCTAATATTTTTTAAATTAAATATTCAAATCGATATTTTTTTCGAAAAATTTTCGAATTTTTTTATAAAAAATCGATAGAATTTCGAGAAATTCCAAAGAAATTATTAAATGTTGATAACCCTAATTTCACCTCAATTTTAACTTTCGACCATCTACCAAACAAAACTTCCGATAAATCAATAAAATTGCGATATTCGAGCAAGCTATTCGAGTAGTAAACACCTAAATTCCGATTACTGAAATATTTCTCCTGCCATAAATCATGAAATTCAATTGTTGGAATATTGATTTAGCTTCAAAGCACTGTGTACAATAAGAATCTAGCTTATCGTACCAGATCATCCCTTAAGTTCGTACCAAAAGCGAAAAGTATTTTAATGAAAATCCAAGTGTTGCGTCGTGGACCTTGATCAAGTCTTATGACCAGGAGTTCTGGCGCAGGTTGATGATTGTTCTCGCTGGTTCGAGGTGTATTGAAACTTGGTTGTTGGGTTAGATGTTTTAGATGATTTGCTGAATTCAGGGTTTGATAGATGTTTTTCCCTTGATTCGATGTTGTAGATGTTTAGTTGAAATTCGGTTATTCTTTTCGTGACGATGTGTCTCGTGCACTCGTTTTACAGTGATTGTCGGTTTTCAGGTATGTAGGTGTACATATATAGGCATTAGGTTGGTTCTGATTGGTGGTTGTGTTATGAAGGTGGAAAACGTGGTGTGTTCGGCTATTGGTCGACGAAAACTGTGACCTTTTGGGAGACCGGTAACGAATGTTTTACGGTCCCGAGTGTTTTTGGGACCTATTGTCCGAGTGACGCGCTGGTGGGTCCACGGGGGGTATATTGCGGTCTTCCGAACGTCGGCACCTCGGTCTGGCGGCCAAATGTGACTAAGTTGTTTATTACTATAATCCGCCGAACGGAGACTTCGTTGCGTCCTCATCAGGTCGCAACACCAAGGAAATTCCAAGGAAAAGAAAAAGTAAGGAAAACTCGGAGAATGAGAAAGCATTTACGTTTCTACTCTCAAATTTACAGGCTCCTTGGAAATATTGATCTAAATTATAAAATTTGTCACAAACTTACAGGATGACCTAATACATGTACATTCAAATTTAAAGCATCACTGAAAATACTGATCTAAATTATAAAATTTGACACAAACTTACAAGATGACCTAATATACATATTCAAATTTAAATGTAATAAAAGATACCTTAAAAAAAGAAAACGAAGAAAAAAAATACTGGACTTTCCAGGTGGAAGTATGGGAGAGGCCGACATGCCGACCACAGTTCACTACAGCCGGGATCGACGGCGAAGCTCGATCTCCAGATCGAGGGATCCCGAAAAAATCCTCGAAGATCTACGAATATTAAAAGCGGCTAAAAGGGAGCTCGCCAGGACGATGAGTCTCTCAGGAGGCAAGAGACGGGAGAGCTGTGAGTATGATTACGTTGCTTCCTTTTTGGCCATCATTTCGCCTAACCATTCGTTCGTCCGTCCGTCAGTCCGCGTTCACCCATTTGTGCAATTGTTTGCCTGTCTGTCTATCTGTCTGACTGTCTTTCACGCACTCGTCGATTTACTTTCTCTCTCTCTCTCTCCCTCTTTCTCTACAATCCTCTTTTCTCTCTCTCTCTCTCTCTCTCTTGTTTTCTCACCACCACTGTTCTTGATCGTTGGATCGTCGTTCCGCTCGATCCATCCTCGTCCACCAGCCGATCAAGCAGATCGAATCTTCCTCGTCGGCCGGCGCCGTGCGTATCGTACGCATGTGATTAAATGTGTGTGCACGGACGTACATGTATACGTGTAGATGCAAGGTAAACCGAGCTATATAGACAGGTTAGATGTGATTATCGAACATCTTGATTTGATTGCCGGGGGAACGTAGAAGCTGCGTTTACGTTCGAAATAACGGATTATTGAATTCCGAGGAGCTACGGGTCGTCTCCCCGTTTCGGTCGTAGCGGAAGACAAACTGTAGTTAAGACTTTAAGCAGCGAATGGAAAGAGTTTCAAGACATTTATGTTACCGCGTGTTTGCTTTAATCGAAATCCTATTTGCAAGACTATCAAAGTGAAACTTTCCTTCGGTAGATCGAGTTCCGAGCAAGAAAATTTCTTGAAACGAAATTTCTGACAGGACCAAAGAAATTTCAACATTCTCTGTTTCAAGTCTCCTCGCTGTTCAATTTTTAGCGATTTTTTCTTTTCTTTTTAGTCAATGCATCTATAGAGTTGACACGATTCGGATGAAAAATATGTACTAGTTTATATATATATGTAGGTCCGTGTCATTTGTGTACACTTATGTGCATTTTCTCATATATCATTGTTCACGAGCCTTTATTATCTTTAACACTTATATGTGTATTCTATGCGATACCATGATTTTTTCCTATCTTTCACTCTCTGTTTACTTCACACGTCTGTTTGTCCCCTCTGCTTTCTCTTTTTCCGTGTATTCTCGTATAATCATTCCCCATCGATCTCGCGCGATTTGACCGAGCGAACAAGTATCCTAACAACGTTTTTCGTCCAAGTTAACCCCCGTGAAGTTTCGTTCGTCAGTATATAGTGAGTTAAAGTTAATCGAGCTGGAAACGGATCGGCCTGGAAGGGAGCCTTATGTTTTTTCTGACGCTTAGACGAAAAAGGAATAGAATTCTGTATTAATTAGCTTGATTCGGTGAGAAAAATCGTGAAGGATTGGTACAAGGATTTATCATGTATCGATCATTTTGCTGTTTCTTTAGTACAATTTTCTTTTTTTTTTTTTCTTTTGTAATTTGACACACGTCCAAGACGAATCAGTGCTCTCGATTTCAATGATTTAACGGTGTCGACGAAGAAAAGTTCGTTCGTATTCGAGAGGACGAGAACTTGGACGTCGATTCACTCGAACCAATGACAATTCTCACGTGTTTCGTGTTAAGTCGAAATTTCCCATCGTTCGAAAAGGGAGGGGGAATTAATCGTTCGTCGAAACTTGTGAAAGTGCGATCGGCTAGAACGTGCCGGACAATGCTAAATCGCGTCATCCTATCTCTGTCTGTCTGTCTATCTATTCATTGGAGAAGCTGGCATTCCCAAAAGTTCACTCGTCGCAATGATCTGTGCTCTATGCTCATCTCTGTGCGATCGCTGTTGCGCCGCTGTTGCCTGTTCGCTCAAGTACTCGTTCCGCCTGATGCCAGCCTGAGACACCAACGATCCAGATTGTTATCATCCGACAAGAAAGACCAAGGCACCCAAAGTGATTGGCAATAACGAAAAAAAGAAAAAAACACAACTAAAAAACAAACTAACCGCGAGCTAAAGTAGTGGAAAAGGAAACACAGAGACGGAGGATGTCGAAAGCGAATAGAGGAGAGAAGAAGGATGTCGTTCTTGGCTCCTTCTCTCACCTATCTATAGCTCACGATGTCCCTCTTCTAATTCGGCCGCTGCACACGCCATTCTCCGACTTTTTTCTCGCCGTGGTGTTCAAATATATATATATATGTATATATATATATACACACATCCTGTTTATTACACACTCCCCCACCAGGCCTGGTTCCTCGTTCACGTTGAAACCATATCAAACGCCAAAATTGTGAAAAAGCTATGCGCTGATCGTGTTCTTCACTATATTTGAGTGTTCGTCTTCTCTCATGATCCGCTGACGAGGAACGCCACCACGCAAGTGTTCTGCCAATTTTGTCTCTTTGTTCATTTTCTTGATCTCCTTTCTCGGTCGGCCCTGTCCGTCCGGCAATCTCTTACATGCATACGCACGGTCGATCAAAATGCTCGGTTCGCTCGGTCGAAAAGCCATCGGCCATCGTCACCATCCCGACACCCCGATCGACGACGAATCGTGGGCTCGATCGACCGACCAACCACAACATCATCGATCAACGACAACAGCGTGCGTAGTCCCAACGGTTACTGTGTGGCAGTGCGAGCCTGTATCTCCGAGGACCGGTAACTCGGCCTCCTTCCCACTGCCGCACTCCATACCACCTCGATAAATAACCACAGGACACTGTGGACCAACGTCACGGGCTTCCGGTAAGATACATTTTCTCGCTCTCTTTCTCTCTATCTCTCTATTGTATATATCTCTATCGCCTTCTCCCTTGGCTACTCTCGTCTACCTTTCACTCTCTCTTTTTCTCTCCTTTCTTCCTGCCTAATGAATCTACCCAATTTACCCGAGCCTCTTCGTTTGTTTATTCGTTCGCCTGTACACATCCGCCAAATGTGGAACGCGCCAGTATTCTCTTGTTTTACATTTCTTTTACGGAAAGCGATCGAGCGTGGCTCTCGGTGTTTTTTCTTCCATATCTGGCGGATAATGTAGGAAATACCTGCCTGGTCCGTCTCTCCCGAAATTACCCTATATCGTGGGTATCATTTTTCGAATTTTTCTGTTACGTCTTTCAAGTACGTCCTTGTCCTCTATTACCTTTACTTCCGTAATTGACGAGTACAGTGTAATCGATTTCCTTTCACATTTTGTATTTCGAAAAGAAAGCTTGTAGAGGTAATGAGTTTTTTTTTTCTTTTTCTTTTTGTTGTGGATATGTGTATCTCGTTGATCGAGTATCGCCTCTGTTTATGGAGATTTTAATTAGAACGTTGAGAAAGAAACGGGAGAGGAATTTACTTCTCGAACGTCCCCTGTTTTGCTTGAAACATTGCTCGAAATGTAAGTGCGCGCGCGCGTGTGTGTGAATATTTTCAAATTGTACAGTAAACTTCTGCCAAGGTGTTCTCTCGCAGGAAACTCGTAATATTACGTAGCAATTCTGTTCCCAGTTTCCGTCTTTTGTGTTGATCCTCTGTATGTTCGCATCGGTTGCGCTTTTGTAGACCAACAGTACTCGCTTAATATTGTATTATTAGCAGTAGAGTATATTTAATCACTAACCACTCGTTGCTATGTCTACAATCATGACTTTAGGTAAGGAAAGTAGTGTTCTGGAGTTTCGCTGAGTGCACTTCGAGAACAGAAATTGATTTCGTTGAAAAGCCACCTAGTTACTAATATTTGTAGAAATATTTAATGAAAATATCTATGAAAAACGTTAGTTTCAGTTGTATACGAGACAGTGAAACTGAATTAACACATTTAGATAGTAGTAGAGTCAATAATAGCTATATTCAGTCGTGTCTGACATATCGTTGACCTGTACTACTTATTTCTATTTAAAAGTGACAGCAAAAGATGCATAAAACAAATTCCAATCTTTTGAAGAGATTGTATTGAAATGTTACTATCGCTGTCGTTACTTTTTGCAACACAGATAACATAAACATTCGTAAAAGTATTCTCAACTTTTTTGACGATCGAGCAAAAGTGAATTGCAATTGTTAATTAAATTCTCTCAATGGAAATGGAAAGAGGTAGCGTACTCTAGCATTGTTGCTTTGATGATCAAACATGCCACAAATTGACCCATTAATTTCAATCCTGGCATAATCTTCCAATAGATTCCAACCAGACTATCGGTATTCGTACCAAATATGCTCGATGACAGATTTCTGACATGTTTATCAGATATCCAATGGAACGATATTGTCGCCGAGCCTTGGCTATTCGACTCTAAATTAATTTCTCCAGAATACTCCAGTGAAAAATAACAAACGAATAAAAAATCTGTAAAGTACAGTAGAACCAGTTCTCGAAGTTCATTTAACGCAACAGAAGTAGACGATACAGTAACCTTAATCCCTGATAATTGATCATCCTGAAAAGAATTGGTAGATTTTTTCTCAAAATCAAATTGTTGTGATTGAAATATGCGATTAAAGTTGCTGCATTATCCCAAGAACCCACCGTTCCACTAATTCATCGTACCTGACTCACGTAGAATCAGTAGATCCATTAGATCCAGTAGATCGTAGCTTGTAACAGCAGTGTCAACCACGTAATGGCAGTAATTTCGTAGGCGTTGAAGAAATAGCTACAGTTGAAGTACCTGTTCCGTTCTTAGCTAGAGTTTTTTGACAAGTAGCTAAGAAAAGCGTAAGTAGGCTTCAATGTAGTTTAGTTCAGTGTTCTATTCTACAGATTAATCGTTGCTCTAACCCGCTTTCCTCTCGCCCCCTTTCTTTGATTGATGCCAGTCGTAGTCGTAGATATTTTTATTAACCCTCTCACTCACCAGTTGTATTGACAGTAGTAAGAAGATACACCGTTAGATTATTTCTTGCTAACGTAGATGTTGGAGAAATTAAGAAACCCCGATATTCCCCGTGCACACCACTCATTTACAATTACAAAAGCACAACTTGGAATTCCCAAACTCTTCTTCAAAGACTTCTCTTCGTTCATTTGTTAGACGTAGAAATTCATTCGGAAATTTTCACGACTTGGTCGACTCAAAGCAGCCATATTCTGCGAGATTTTTGATTTTTCGTAAAAATAAATATTGAAGTTTGTAAGAAACAGCACCGAATTAATTTCTACGTTTAACACAAACCGTGATAATACGATCTTTTACGAAGTTACAGATAATTTATGTAGCTCTGAATCTATGCTATTTCTGTCGTAAACAAGAAACATACACATAACCAGGAAACTTGATTGTACATTCAAACAATATCTCAAAAATTTGAATCTTAAGACTACTCGATAAACTTACTTTACCTCGAAACTCTACCTAAACTTAATAGTTGCTATAAATTTAACAATTCCACGACAAAACATTCAACTCACTTCTCACTTTCTCACGAAACAACAGTCTGCAAATGCGCGTCTAATCGAAGGTGCTTTGCAATCCCGAGTAAGCTTGACACAAGTTGAGAGCTTCGTTGATTGTGAACCGTACTTAAGGCTTCTGAATCCTATTGAGTAGACGGCCAGATTCAGTAGGCATAAAAATGAATTTTGATCAATCACTTTCTCGGCAACCTGCGTGACAATCGCGTATCCTCTCCGTTAGAGAGCGGAAAGGGGAAGAGAGAGAAGAAAAAAAACTCGGACGAGATAACAAGGAAATGGGAAAACCGACGCGAGTTACACCGCGGAAAAAAAAGTAAATCACGTAGCACGCAGGTTGGTGGGCGGGTAATCGCGAAATGCACCAGTCACAGAAAGAAAATATCTTCCTCTAACTCACAGGGCGGGGTGAGCGCAAAGACAGCATCATGAATATTCCGGAGAGGTTTCGCAACACTGAATTAGACGAGCAAGACAAATGGAGGTAAGCAGCACTGGATACAAAGGAATGTATAAATAAAAATTATCATCTCAGTTTAACCGAATCGCTTTTCCCTTCTTGGTCGGGGAAAAACTGTTTCACTTTGTTCGGGGATACTTGAAACCTTTTGTGATACGCTTTTCCAAATGTTACTGTGCTGTATCGATCTATTTTCCGGAAATATTTACAAGGTGCATAGAATTTTTAAGAAGTTGAAAAAAGTAATAATGATAGCAACAATGCAAATTGTGAGTAGCATAATTTGAATATGAATGTTGAAGGCTGAAAATGCAAATTTCGTAATTTTTTAAACTTGTTTTTGTCAGCTTTAACTGATCTTGTTAACTGATTATTTATTTATTTTCTAACTGTAAAATGGATTGCATATTTGAAACGATTTATTTATTTCTATTTTTCACCCCCATTTGACAATTTTACAAGTTATTTTTATTTTTGCACTTAACATTTCGACTGAAATTAATCACTCTCAACGTTTACTTCTTTTTACACGACGAAAAGTAAATATTTTATTAACGCAACATTTACACAATCTCCACCCAGTAAATATATTTAAATCATGTCTCACATAAGCACACAATGAAATTTCGAATCACGTTATTCTAAAAGAAAATAGCGGGGCAGTTACTGCCGCCATCGATTTAAAAGCCGCTTTATTACGATATTCCCATAAAAAGTTAATAGGCTTAAGGCATGTCGTAAATCTGTCACTTAAAACAGTAACACGAATCTAGTGTGATGTTGTTTCTGAAATTAACGACCGCTGTAAGTAACACAAACTCTAACGATACAACGTAAATCACAAATTTCACAAATCTATATAATCATCGTGTTAACACAGCTTTACTTTCGAAAAAAATTAGTAGAAAACAACAACAAAACACGAGGACATTGTAAAGTAAGCTTTACGTCCTATACACTATTAGCCTCCTAATTTTCAATCTTTCAGCGTTCCAGTATTTTAGCCTTCGTATTTTCTACCTTCACTCTATCCAACAATTTTTACATCTTCTGTTTCATTTCACGGTACATTAATCTCGACATGTATTTACCGTCGGTTTTCACTTTTAGTCAGATAATGAGAGACGAAAATGGCGTTGATGCAAAGCTGGGTGCCGGACAGGTGCCACCAAAGGGATACAGGATGATAGGTAAAGGACGCGACTATCCTTCGAAAATTTTTTACCATCCGATATTATCTCATCAGAGAGAAAGATGAATTGCTTTTCGTACCTATTCGTTCGTGTACCGATAGAAAAGGCTTTTCGTAGAAGGGACGAATGATAAATTTACCTAACAAGATTACGCTCGGTGAGATCCTAGGTAAACTGATGGAATTTTTCCTGGATTTTAGGAGCTCAAAACGGTGAGGTGAAACTAGGACTCTGCCTAAGCAAGGGAACGCTTGAAGTCGAGGTTATCTGTGCCAGAGACATTTGTCCGGGAGAAAAAGAGGAACCAGGTAACTTGTTACTTTTTCAATTAAGGGGATACTGAGGTGAAAAATTATCGGACAATTATGAACCGAGGGACATTTTTGGTCATATTTCAGGAAAACGCGGTGTAACTTTTTCGTGATTGTATTAATTGTTATTCTAGTCGTTACATGTTTCCCGACATTCTGATAGCTGCCACTATTCGTGAAACAGAAAAATACGAGTGTTGTTATCGTTCCTAATGAGATAAATATATCGCTTTTATCGTGAAAGGTTTAACTTCTTTGGGTGATAAAAAAGAAACTATTGCAGACATTGACATAATTCCAGTACAGAAAATAAAGATATATCTGTTTTACACTTATGCGAAATTTGGGAGAGATTAGTTGGTTCGTTACTGAAGAATCATGGCCGCCCGTTTGCAAAACACACTTTTACTACACTCAGCGTTTGCAGCGGTGTATGAATTTCTTCAAATCATCGTAACTTTGTCATTTCGCCGATTTCAGGGGTAGACTTTTATCAACACACTCTCAAGATCTTATACTTTCAGAAAATGCAATAAAAAAATTCAATTCTTCGACCCCTTTGAGATATTTTAAACTAATCTCAATTACTTTCAAGGTACCTTTAAAAGTGTCTATTAAAAAAATTTCCCTCTAATCTCGATTTCCTTCCAACTAAATACACAATACGAAGATCACCGTCAAAGAATGAAAAACACCTCCAGCATACTATATTGGAAACAAATCAATCTATCTTTTCGTTCCAATACAGATACCTACGTGAAGACGTATCTTCGAGACGGCGACAGGTGGCTGCAAAAGCGCAAAACCCGAGTGATACGGCACTCGAGGAACCCGCAATACCGCCAGACCATCAAGTACAGCAGCTGCGACGCCCTCGGAAGAAATCTGCTGGTGATGCTGTGGGAGAAGAAGCAAACATTCGAAAGCAATCAGGGATTAGGCGGAGCGGAGGTGAACCTCGACGATCTTCCATTGTCACAGCTAACCATGGATTGGTATCCCTTGTTCCCGATTCATACGCTTGGCACCCATACCGCGGACTCTCCATGATGGCTGAGGGAAAAATGGGCCCTCGAGGCCGGTGAACTCGACCTCAGGCTGAGCCTTCTGCTCAAAGACGAGGACGAGTCTGTCGTTAAGATCATCTCCTGATGGAACCGGTCACAATTCGCGTCTAATTCTCGTTCATTTCACCTCTTCCTTCCGTTCTACCTTCTCTTGCGGTCCCTTGATCGATCGAACACAGGTTTCTTTTTACCGATTTCATATATGTATAGCTTGGCGAAGCACGATCCAGGTTGTCGCGCTCGTCACGGTTCGTTGACGATCGAGTATCGAAGTTCGTCGAGGTTGCAAGTGAACACGGTGGAAAATGTAATTGAACCGATCGACGAAACTTGCTTGGGCAATAGAAAGGGCTATCGGGGACGAGCTAGCAACGAACGAAGCTTCGACAACTGGTGTTGCTTTGCACAGCAAACTGACCGACTTTTCTTTCCGAAATTCATTTGAAATTCATTCAACCGATCGCGACCTCGCAATACTGAGCTAAAAGACAATCAAACTCCAACTGCTCCCCGTTGATGCTTTATTATCAGGATCGTTATATATCGGAGCACCAAAGAAATAGAATTACAATACCTTTTTAACCGTTTGCTTTAGATCATCTTTCGTGGATGTAGTCGGGGTTTTAAACGATCTGTTGCTTCGTTGTTCCATGGAACGACGCGGTGAATGTTGGAAAGAAGAGGATAAATCTTGTTTAAATTCGTTCACGTACGTCCACGAAAGTTCTAGCAATAAGGGTGGTATATCTGCGGAAGATCTATTCCGCGGAGAAAACGACCTACGAAACGAACAAAATGAATACTACGACGAAAAAAAGGAAGCAACACGAGAAAGATTCTATTTTTTTCATGAATTATTAGAAAACGAAATAAGAAACGGAGGAGGAGGAAAGTGAAAAGATGCCACGTTCTAACAGTGAGGGTCCATTACGGATCGTACGAGGGTCCATTTTTTCCCATAAATTAACACGGAGACGAACGAGAGACGATCGACATTCGTCGCGTGCGAGCGCGTGCTCTGGTTGATCCAGCTTTGCAATTCGATCGAGTCTCGTGGCTAACGTGCGAACCGATTTTCGTTCGGTGAAATAAAATAATTAATGCATCTTCACCGGCGAATATGTCGTTAGGTATTTTTGTCGTCGAGGAGGCGTCTCGAGACAGAAGACAGAAGGAATACTAATATTTATCAACAGTCGCACGATTATCGATTAGTCAGTATCAAAGAGAAAAAGAAAGATGAACAGTACAAGTCGAAGGTCGACGTGATTCAGTATTATCTCCATTAGAGTTACATAATTATAAGAGTAATTTAACGACGACAGGATCAGAGGAAACATAAAAAC